CGGCTTCTAGCGATAACTCTTGAGGTCCCAGGAGTTCCCGAGGTGCACGTATGTGCCCTGGAAATTCCCGACGAAGACCTTGACCAAGTCGCGCCAGTTGTGAATCTGTGAGGGAGGGAGGTGTTCGAGCTAGGCTCGCGCCGAGTCTGATAGGAATAAGGGGAGGTTACGGATGATGAGCAGGTCATCGTTCGCGCCACCTAGCTAACAAGCCAGGCGGTAATCGGCCAGCCACAGCTCGGGGTTGGTCTCGCCGTTGTATTTCACGAGATTGGCCGGTTGCCGGAACCAGGCAGGGAATGGAGCGCTGCGGATGGCCTTGCTGAAGACACTAGGGCCAGGCGGCCCAGGGGAAGGATTGCGGTCCTCCCCGCTGTCGTAGCGGCCACCTCGGTGTGGCTGGTAGCCTCGGGCGAGCCCGTCGTTGTCGTGGCGCCGTCGCCTGCTGACCACATCGTGGTCCTCTTGTGCCTCGCGTCGGTCGCTGAGGCGGTCATGGACTGAGGGGGCCTTGAGGCGATCGTGCACCGAAGGCCTCTTCGAGATGTTCTCACGTCGCCGAGACGCGGAGCTTTCGGCCTGCTGTACTACGACGGTTTTGAGAAGGTCTCGGAGCTCGCCGTGGACCCATCGCCCCTCCATGGTAGAGGGCTCAGGCATCGCTCAGACTAGCATCGCCGCTGCCGCGACGTTCTGGCTAGCGTGATTGAAGATTGGGGTTTGCTCACTTGCTTCGTCGTTGTTGATGCGGCGGTGCACGTCGTGGGCCCTCTGCCGGGCCCCTCCGCCATCACCGGGACCTTGCTGCTCCTGCTCGAGAGTGTCTCAGAGCTGCTGTAGCAGGAGTCGATCTTGGTTGACTTTTGCCTAGAGCTCACGGAGCTGCTCCAGGTCTAGGCGTTGGAGATCCTCGGGGGCGACGTTCACGTTCCGCGCCGCCCGGAGCTCGATGAGCGGGGGTGTGGTGTCACCCACCCCTTGGTGGAGCGGGGACCGGTTGCCTGCCCTCTCACCCTCATTACTTTCCCCTGGCATTCCGAGCCCAACGTGGAAACACTCTCGAGTGGGATCATAAGTGCTTTCGTCATCGGAGTCGGAGTAGTCGAAGCAGTAGTCGCTTGCAGCCAAGAAGCGGCGCATATCCTCGGGGTCACGAAGCCCGGAGAAGTCCACTCCGGCCCATGCCTCGTCCTCCTCCGAGGAGTCAGTGTGGGTGTGGGTCGAGATTGTGGTGGAGAAGTCGATGGTGAATCGTTGGTGGTGTTCCGAGGGTTCCGCGTGCGTGGAGGCGTAAGCGAAAGCGTAGGCGGCGGCGATGTTTTTTAGCCCGAAGGGGTACGGGGATGGTGCCATTGTTGGGCTCCGCTCCGCCTGAGTTGATTCCTCAGGATGTGGTGGGGCAGAGCTTGACGATGGGACATCGCTGCGTGCTACCGGCGTCTTTCCCCTGCCCAGGCTTAGGCTAGATGGGTCCCCAGCCAGGGACTCTGTACCAACAGCCGGGCATGGGATGTCGATGGAGTGCGGTGCGTAGCTCTGAGCTCGCGTGGTGTCGGAGTAGTCCCGCTCGCGTCGTGCCTGGCGAGCGTGATGAGAGCGGCGGCTCGGGCGCCACCTGCCCGGGCTGCCGATGCGTGATCGTCGTCGCCGGCCGGTGGGGCTCTAGGTGTGAGAGTACCATATCGTACTCACATCCTAGAGACATGAATTCTAGGCTCCCAAATCAGACCACCGTGCCGAGACGTAGTGGGCGTATGGGGTCAGCCATCCGAAACTTGTTGGGACGATCACGATAACACACAGAGGCCCCTATCTGGCAGCCTCAACCAACTAGTAAAAGTGAACTGCGTGCCCCTAATCCCGGATGGTGATGCAAAGAGACACAAGGTTTATACTGGTTCAGGCAATTGGTGCCCTACGTCCAGTCTGAGAGATCGGTCTTGTATTCCTTGCACCGAAGTGCTTATAATAGGGGGTTACAAGCCGGGTGAGAGAGGGAGCTAGTCCCAGGCCTCGGCGTGGGATGGTGCGAGGTGCTTGAGATGCTGCTCTCAAGTAGCCTGGGAGCGTGGGTGTTACAGGATGTGTCTAGGGCGAGTATGGGAGCGTGGTTCTATCATACGTTCTTCTTCTTTTTTCTCGAGCTATCCCTGGCCGCTTCCTTTTATAACCGCAAGGAAGGAGCCAGGAGTACATGAGTAAGCTACACGTGGGGCCTACTGCAGTTTTGTCCTGTAGCAGCATGGCGTTGGGAATGGAGATCGGTACTTGTTCAATGCGCCCGTCTTTGGTCGTCAGTTTGAAGTGGTTGAGGTCGTGGGGTTCCTTGTCGATGTCTAGTCGAAGATGACTTCCACGTAGGAGACATGTCGTGCTTTGGTGGACTCTTGACACGGTGGAGTGCCGAGGCTCAAGGTTGTAGCTAGCCACGCCGAGGCCTGATTTGCCAAGGCCCTGGCGGGTGTTTGTAGCTGACCGCGCCGAGGCCTGAGTTGCCGAGGCCCTGGAGGGAGTAGTTGGGCCTATGCACAGATTCCAAGGCTATAGTGACCTGGTTTAGGTGGAAAAGTGCAGGGCATGGTAAAAAAGGAGATTTGACCGTTGTCCCATTGCTCCTGTTGCTGTACCCTGCCGGTCGTGGCTATCGTAGCGAGTGCATTCAGCGCATTAAATGGATGGGATAACTGCCGGGGGATGGTTGAGGCGGGCGGCGAGAGGATGCGGGATGAGCCCGGCCTCGGCCGAAGGCGGAGAAAAAACGATCGTCCGAGGCCCCGCCGTGGTCTCTTGATGAGGCGGAGAACGAGCACTGGGCTCTCCTAGCCGCTCTTTGAGACTTCTGAGGACTGGACTTGACCTTCCACGCCGCTTTGTCCTTGGCGCAAGGGGTTAGGTAGCACAAAGGCAATCTGGTGTCGATGGGAAGCACGATGATGAGCACTGATGGCGGTAACCCTACTGCGCCCGGTCCCCTGTCCGTCGGTCGCTCTGCCAGACTGCACTATGCCAGCGTCTGACGCGTCTGGTGTAGTTGGGCGCATTAATCCGGATGTGACGTTTTGTCAGAGGAGTTCGGTTGGGACGGAGGTAACGAGGTTGTTTGCCGAGCCCAGGCTCGAGCGAATCGAAGAATTGGCATCCCGTCCGAGGCCTTTCGGGGCGGGGCCTCGGCGAGAGGGTCTCGGCGAGAGGGCCTCGGCGGGGCGGGGAGCTTTTGGCCTTTCGCATGAGGCTTCAGCGCAAGGCCTCGGGCGAATTGGAGAAATCTGCTGAGACCTTACGGTAGTCTTTCGGTTTTGATTTTTGCAAGATTTAAGCAATATTTTTGGTTCTTGCTTAGGGTACCCCTTCTTGCGGTATCCGACAGTTTTTTTTTTTAGAATTTAAAAATCATTCGGCCACACGTTCGTGGTCGTGTTTACTGAACAAGATGTTCGAAATTTCTTTTCATTTCCAGGGTAAGGTCTCACACTGGACTCAATAACATGAATATCATTTTTCTACTCATTTTATTCTATTATTTGAATCACTTGCAATTCAAATTTGGCTTATACCAAAAAATTCCTTGAAATACAATAAATTAATTAAATATAGCAAATAGATCCACAAATATATCAAATTTTAACATAGAATACCACATGTTGTATGTGGAGAGTAGAAAAAGTTCAAGGTTAGAAGAGAAAAAATGAAATTATTTGCCGAGTGCCAAATAGTTACACTTGGCAAACATATTTCTTTGCCGAGTGTCAGACAATTACAGTCAGCAAACATATTTCTTTGTCGAGTGTCTAGTTTTGCCGAGTGTTTTTTTCTAGTTTGTCGAGTGTCGAACTTTGCCCAGTGTTTTTTGCATCGTTTGCCGAGTGCAATTATTTTACTGAGTGTTTTTTTTTCGCAGCACTTGGCAAATGGCTTGTTTGTGAGTGCCCGAGGAAATGCACTCGGCAAACATAAAAACACTCAGCAAAGAGCCGGTTTCGGTAGTGAGGTAATAGAAGAAGTCTGGGAACAATAGGAGGCAAGTAAAGTATGATGATCCTGTGGACATGTTACTGATTGGATGTACTTATTATATGATAATATATTTTCAATAACTATTTGTGAATTTATATTTAATTTGTAACATGATGGTTATTATTTCTAACATGTCTCTTTCCTTCTATGGTTGATATTTAGGTTTATGTCCTTCTTATGAATGATATTTTACATATGGTTTATTATGAGATCAAATAAATTGTTAATGAATGATTGAGAAAATTTCAACTCGATATAGTTGTGGCTTATTTGGTAAATATTATCTTATGAGATTTCATCTCGTGATTTCCATGTATGTGCAATTAGTTATTTTTTTATCTACATTTAATAGGTACTTGTGATGAAGAGAGAGTGGTATCTCAACAAGTTAGAAAAATGATAATTGCTGCCGCCTGCCAGCATCTGTTGTCATTACTTCGTGCCAGGCTAATAAGCTGTGAGAGAGCAGCCGGTTTCGACCGTACGAGGAAGGACCCTGGCGGCGGCCCATGCAATGAGAGATGCGGCGGGGCCCCGCGGGCCCGGGAATGGGGCATCGGCCAATGGCTATTCAACAGCGGCGGCTCGAAAAGCATCCCAGTTTCGCGATACCCCTTCCTCCCCCTCCGATCCGTCGCGGCAGCGCGCATCACCGCTTTAAATCCGCCCCTCCCGGCTCCTCCCTCCTCCCGGCCGGGGTCCCCTCATCACCTTCTCTCCCTCTCTGTCCACCGCCGCAGCTAGCTGTGACGTCATGCGCTCGCCGGCGCCATAGCGCCAGCGCCTACCATCTACAACTGTAGGCTTAGTTATCCTGTCAATCAAGCCTCTCGTAAGGAACAAGGAAGGTAGCTAGCTAGTTTTATAGCTGCTGTCGTCGGCGGCGGCGGAAGCGACGTGCCTGTTCTTAGAGGATAGGATAGGTTAGCAGAGAGGGTCAGCTAGGATTTTGGTTGAGATCAGGAGGGGAGGAGGCGGCGGCGGCGATGGGGCGCGGGAAGGTGCAGCTGAAGCGGATCGAGAACAAGATCAACCGCCAGGTGACCTTCTCCAAGCGCCGCTCGGGGCTGCTCAAGAAGGCGCACGAGATCTCCGTGCTCTGCGATGCCGAGGTCGCGCTCATCATCTTCTCCACCAAGGGCAAGCTCTACGAGTACTCCACCGATTCATGGTACGCTCTCGCCTCCGTTGCTTACGTTTCAACGCGCTCCGCTGCGTGCTGCACCATTTCCAAGCTGTCTGAAACTATGAATTATGGTGCGTGCTCCGTAATTATCTGTTTGAATTTGCTGAGAATTTTCGGGGCTTATTTGGATTATTGGATAGACAGACGTACGAATCGGGTCATACATAGTTTAGAATCTAGATGAAGACGCGTATAGCGTGTGCCGCTCGTGCGAGCGAGCGCTATATACGAGGTAATTTTATGTTCCGCTTTCGCTGGGATGGCGTTCGCTGCTCTGTTTGGGGAAATCTTTGCTACCATGCTGCATGTGTTAATTGCTTGACCGAGTTGACTCCTACTGAGGATCAAGTTGGGGGTGGGTGGTCCATGGAGCGAACCGCAATCGATCCAACTGATTTCCGGAGGAGCACTGGTACGTTGCTCCATCTGTATTAGACGCTGACCCAATGGGGCCCAATGGTTATTATGGATAGCTCCAAAATTACTCAGACGCACGGCGAGGGGTGAGAACAAAAGAGAAGTCGCACACTTTGGGAACCAGTACGGCGAGGTCCTTGGGCGGCGCGGTCCCACTCAGCATAGGCGGAGTAATAGACGAGCTGGTAGAGCGCGTGCGAGTGCCCCGGCTGCAGCACCTCCGCTGCCGCCACCGCCGCCCATACGGCGTCCCCGGCGGCTCCCGTGCCCATACGGAGGCGCCGGCAACAGCGGCGTCGGGAGGCCCTGCTGGTTCCCGATGAAGGTGATGGACAAGGCGGCGCTGGAGAGCCGGCGGAAGCTGAGTTGTGCGCAGACAGAGCGGGAGATCCTCCAGCTGCACCGGAGCCATTAACATGGTGGCTTGTGTCCTGTCGTCGCGGCGCCCTCATCTGCGGCTGGCCAGGGTCCGAGATCCGAGGTACAAGCACTGAGTCAGAGGTCGCGCCGTATGTACTGCCAGACGGGGAGGATCGAACTGTTGGATCTTTCGGTTCTCTGGTTTCCGATCCATCGATCCAAATCCTTTGACTGATATCAGAATGGAGCCCATTTGGGTAGATTTTATGGACCGGTTCAATGAACCGCTCCACTGATCCGAACCACGCCCATCTTTAACTGCGGAAGGATACTATACAGCTCATCTCCTACTCTTATCTTAATCAATATGTGTACTGAGTATATATCTTTGGCATGCGGGGACGATTGGAGATTACATGGAGGGTTATGATTTCTTTAATTTGGATTACACCATCACTTGCTGCTTGCACCCTTTGTTTCTTCGCACTTCCTCGGCTTAATTTGACGTGACTTTTTCTTTGCTCTTCCATTGTTTTCTTGTGCCTCTTTTCTGATTGGCGCTACTTGTTGTCGACCCCCATGGTATACACGGTTTCATATGCATGGAGTCTTTGTCCACTGCGACGAGCAACTATGCTAGCTTGTCTTTGCTCTTGACTGATGATTGACGATGCTGAGCCTGAACTCCTCCAATTGAGCATGTTCATATCGCAAGCCCTCATGGAGCACATAACTTTACTTTGTGTGTAGAGTTTCTTCTTTTGATATTGTTATGTGGTATCACTGTGGTTAGGTTGCCATGATTTTTCTTGAATGAAGAACAGATAGGTGCACTTACACGGTCCATCCTTTCTTCTTCAGTACTTACTATCAGTCTATCACTGCTAATAGCCATCATGGCTTCTACTTCTATCTGATTTCTGAGTTTATATTCAAGAACAACTAGTGGGTGTGCATGGGTTCTGGATACATCAACAGAAACCACTAATTATACTTGCATAAGCTGCCGTGGACTTTTCACCTTTTCTCTCATCTTCCTTTCTGCCATCACTATATCATATCATCTCAATAGCCCTTAGCCCTGACAAACCTTCCACTCTGTTTGTGAGGACTGAGGAGGCAAAAATCTTCTGAGTCTTAGTAACCATGCATTTAATAAGATTGATAGGTTTTTTCCTGAATAATGCTGCCTGAGCTCAAGATTTATGCATGGCAGTAGGTACCTGCCCTATCGCACATAAAAATGATAATATTCTTCCCATCCTCCTACCTTCTCTTCTCCTCTTTCTTGTCCACTTTGTACCACTGATCAATCAACGTCCCCCTACCTTCTCTTCTCCTCTTTCTTGTCCACTTTGTACCACTGATCAATCAAACTTGGGCGATTAGCAACATGTAGCTCTTCCATATATGAAATGATTAAGGATGTCAGCACATAATAAAAAAGGAATTACAATGGCACATGGTGTCCTGTGTGTCCTCTAGAAGAACCATTCATCAGTCAGATGTTTTTTTATGTGTTTTTCTTCTCTGACAACTGTGGTCTAATGAATTAGAATTAATAATGCTAGACGTAGGGAGACATGCAAGCATGTGTCATGTGATATATGACTGAAAAGGAGACTCCGGCACAAAAGGGAATGCTATGTTTCAATTTCAAGACACAAAGATTGGAATGAAAATACTGTTAGCTGGACCTAACCAAGCTTCTTTCATCTTTACTAACTAAATGTCTTTTTGTGAAAAAAAAAACTTCAGAAAAGGAAGTATGTAGTAGGTGGCTTGGTGCCTTGTTTGTTCAAGCATTCTGAGTTCTTACATGAGAAACATGGGAGTGCTTTTGCATGGAACCTAAGACTTACATATGGTAGGGTACTGCATGAATAGAAGGCTGAATAGTGTAGCACTCGTCTATTTCAGTTCTCTCAAACTCCTGTACCTAACCAAGAGTGAGTAGGTATACAGACATTCTGTAAAAGCAAACGTAAGACATAAAAATGATAACTTTATTAACCAACGGAATTAGAACTAGTGCCATGTGTTTCCGCTAAAATTCAAAAATACAAGTGGATCACCTTTCAATTAGGTGGACTTGTATCTGAGAAACTGTTGCTTACTCAATATGCACACCTCTAGACAACTGAATAGTAGCACCTTCTCTAGCAGAAATATCTGCATCAGTTTTCAGTTTATAAATATCTCTTATATGCCTATATTAATTTACTCAGTTTTCTTTTCCTACCTATTTTGACCCCTTTTTCACATATCTTGAAATTTTCAAATCTTTGCAGTTTTAAATGAAAAATATAACAGATAAGATTCTGAATGCATGTGTATGGCATCTCAATATCACATGTATGATTTTATTTCTCCTGATTGTCATTGTGTACCTGTACAAGTTTTACTGAAGGTAGAACATTCCACCATATCAATGTTCGTGTATGTCAGTGCACTTTGTCGTTGCGGATTATATTGTCTGAATTTTCAGTTGCAGTTTTCCTTATTGTTGTTTAATAGACATGGTTCTATACTCTACGAGTTCCCCCAAACTTCCCTTGCAGCTGACTTCCTTACTATGCAACCTCAAATGCTTTTCGTTTAGGTTTAGCAACTTTTATCTGAGGCGGCCTTTTTAGAACATTATTACCTTCACACAGCTGTGATGTCTCGTACAAAGTAGAAATTATCCTTCACCTTCCCCCTGAAGACCTGAAGTTCAGCAAATCACTGTAACTTGTGCCAGTATGCTTCACGATTTGACAATAAAATGGGAACCAAATTCTTACTGTAACTCGAGGAAAATGACCTTATCTCTCCCTGTTCTAGCCTTTTGTCTTCATTATTATGCTCTCAGTGGCACATGGCTGGTCAGTGTGCCTGGTCATCTCTGGTGCATGTTGGTGTTAATAATGTGTGTAGACAGTAGTGGTGGTGGTGTATATTTGAGTACCTTTCTTCTTTAGTGAATTGACATGTAGCTCTCATAGAGGGGAAAAAACTCAAGAAACATGAACTGCAAGAACAGTAAAATGTAGCACATATTGCTTTATGGATTTAATTTAACAAATACAAATAATGGTCAAGGTGGGGCGAGCATCCCCACCTGATCTTTTTTATGAATGTGTTCCCTGCCAACAAAATGTTATTAAAATCACAAGTTCATATAAAGATAATTTTATAGTAATACCCTTTTAAAGATTTAAGAAGATATAGTCTATTTAGTTGGTATACAGAATTACAAATATGTTAACTGCATGGGAGATAAGAGAAACTTCCATTTCTACATGTTGATGTCTTAAATATTAATAAGCTTCTGAGATTTGCTAACTAATAATCATATAATTTAATTTTAGTTCATACACTGTTCCATGAAAATTAAGTTACTACAAACAGCAAATGATAGTTTTGGAACATTAAATAAATTATTCATTAAAAAACATAAAATAAATTATATAGGGATGTTCACCGTAGTATTTTCTGTTGTTTGGAGAAATTTTTAATTTTAGATCAATATTGCTTAAGATGTTCAGTTTTATACTCCCTCCACACGGACTAGTATATATATATGGGAACTTCAACACACTGGAACTGATTGAAAGAGCTAGATACAATATAATGCAGTTAGAAAGGTCCATAACTTCATTTCGGTTTGACTTACTTAATTTACTTTATATATATTGCTGTCTTCTGTAACTGCTGTTCTTGAGGTTGTTGTGAGTGCGTCCGAACTAATGTTGTATCCTACTTCTGATTTAGTTAGTTGACCTGTTGAAACAAGTGCTTTCACATGTAGAAAAAGGAACAATCTTTAGCTAGTCTATGCATATGTATGGTATATATATATCGTCGTGTATAAATATTACACTATGCTTTCTTGTAGGACATGAAGGTGCTATGGTAAATGTTACGTTAGTGAATATAATCGTACCATTCTTTATCATACATATATATTGTTGTAGTGTTGTGCATATTATTTAGTTATTCATGCTTACAGTAATCTACTTCCAGTTTTAAATTGTTATTTCCACCTTTTCACAGTATGGACAAAATTCTTGAACAGTATGAGCGCTACTCCCATGCAGAAAAGGTTCTCATTTCAGCAGAATTTGATACTCAGGTAAATTCAATTTCCTTTAGCAACATATGAAGCTGTTTTGTAAATTCATTCAATATAATAGGCTCTAATTGATTCATTACTATAGCTTTTTAGCTTTTGTTCATCAGAAATTTTCTCCAGTTCCTGTCAAGTTGGACCAGAAGTACGATTTTTCATGCTGATCAAGTTGTACTGAACATACATATCTGTGTGGTCTTGATAGGATGATTTTTAGTGGTAGTGTTTTTGTTGGTCATGGTTGTTTCTTGAGTTAAAAAGGCGTGAATCTGACGATCAGTACCTAGGGATGTTGGTGTGGGTGTATTGTATGAGTTTTTTACCCTCCTTTTCTTTTTAATATGAAAGATACACAACTCTCCCGTGTTAGAGAAGGAATAAAAATGATCCCTGCTGCTTCATTACTTGTTTTGCCAAACAATTAACTTTTAGCTCCCTTACATAGATGTGCCATCCACACAATAAATCCGAATGCTATGAAACTAGAAGAAGGCTAAGTCATCTAATGTGTATTGGCATTTTAGATGGCATATGTGTAACCGGAACACGTGATGGCAAGGTGTTTTGTAGTGAACAGAAATATATAGAAGGCGCAACAAGAGTAACTATATTTGCATTGATAGAAAGTTAAATCAATCAAGTAAGTTTAGTTAACTTGTATTAGAATTGTTCGTTCATTTTGCAGCTTTCAATTCTTAGAATATATGCTAAAAAGGTAAACTGGTTCAAGTTTCCAATAACAAAGCATTGTTGCACAAAATATGCTGTAATTGTTGTAGTGCATCCAAATCCCTCCAGTCTCTAATATATGACGTTCGGGCAAAATTAGTACGATGCTAGAACAGCAAAATTAGTATTAATTTTGTTCTAACATCATCATGCATTAGTAACTGGAAGGAATTGCAATTTTATCCAGCCCCTACATTTCTTACATGGTATATATTGGCCTTTTGAAACCACAAAGCTCATATATATGTTAGTTTTGGATAATAAACTTCACTGTTAGAATCTGATACCCCCGTTATGTGCATTAACCCTCGGATCTTCGAAAGGATATTGCGATTATGACACAATCTTGCACCATATTAAGAACGATGTAGTTGAATCGCGTAGAAAACCCTAGATGACGATCAAGCAACCACGACAAGAGATTAGGATTTGGCGAAGCCGGCCGCAAATTCTATAAGCACAACTTCAAAAGAGTACAAGTGATTGTCGCTCTCTCAACAACCCTATGAGTCACCATACAACACTTCACTACTAGCCACATTTCAAATAAAATTAATAGATTTAGCAACTTGATATGTTTCTGACATTTAGATCTCTTGAATATTTTGTTTGGTTGTCCAAAAGATAAGTTTGTGGAACACTGATCCTCTTCCTCTCCTCCCATCCCCAATCATCTTCCCCACATATACTCATATGTCATACCAACTAACTGGTCTCAATGCTACTGTTGTTAACTTGGTTACCATAAAACTACTAGAGCTATCTTGGGAAAGGACATTAACTATTAATACAGGTTGTGGGTCAAAAACTCTACTACAGACTTCAGGTCCATTTCTAGTAAACTCAATATGATGGTAACAATGTTATCAAGTCGTCCAACTAATCGCGATCAGTCAAGCTACTCGGTGCCATGGTGATTGGCTATGCACTACGATTAGTCACAATTAGTCGGACTGATTGGTGCCATGACAACTAGGATCGATTAGACGATATGATAACATTAGGTGGTAAAGCCATAAAAAGTATACCCCCATCACCAATTCGGATTTACTAAGATCAGACCATATAACTTGACAGCATTTTTCTATTGAGAATATTTGACACCCCAAAATGTCATTCATGAAGTGTATCAGACAGTCCAAAGAATATCTCAGTATTATTTTATTCATATTGTAATGTTTGTGAGGTGAAAGCAATTTAATGGTTCGTAAAAGTAGGGATTGTAGGCTTAATATGCTCTTTGTATTAAGAGAAATATGCATTTACAGATCCTGAATACCAATAGTATGTGATACCAGTATGTATAGGAGTTTAGGACAGTTTCTGGAAGCACAGGAAACACTATATCCAAATGTATTATATGTTGTCAACTGTTTTCTCACCATTTTCTTATAATAATCCATGGAGCTTTCTCATATTTTTTTTACTAAATATGGTACTAGTCCTAGTTATGAGCAGTAATAAATTATGTTTTAAATTAGTACTCCCTCCATTTCTGTTCTAGCTTTTTTTTAATATACATACCTTTTGCAAAGCACTAGATATATATTGTGTCTAGGTACATTATAAAAACTATGTATCTAGAAAAATCAATACGACTTACAATATGGAATGGAGGGAATACAAAGAATACTGTACTGCAGGGCAGTCCTTGGTTCACGTAACTATCCCCGGTTATTATGTTGAGTGTCTCCTTCAATTTTTGATATACTGAATCAATAGCATTTCTTTTCATGATACTGGCCCATATTAAATAACGTAAATCTTCTTTGCTTTGTGTAGGGCAACTGGTGCCACGAATATAGAAAACTAAAGGCGAAGATCGAGACAATACAGAAATGTCAAAAGTAATTTGTAGTGTTTAGTTACTGAAAATATGTAATATGCCCTGTTGAAGATAAATATGACCAAGACTTGTGTATCCTGCAGGCACCTCATGGGAGAGGATCTTGAAACTTTGAATCTCAAAGAGCTCCAGCAACTAGAGCAGCAGCTGGAGAGTTCACTGAAACATATCAGAACCAGGAAGGTAGTGTGATCATATATATTAGACTGCAGTGCATTACTTGTGGTGCCTACTAGGCCACTGACAGCCATGCGCTGTGCATGTTGGAAAGCTAACAAGTAAATATTCATGGCATGTGCAGAGCCAGCTTATGCTCGAGTCAATTTCAGAGCTCCAACGGAAGGTAAATTGTTGAGCTCGCTTAAAGTTGGTAGTTCGAACTTCCTTTTTAAGAATTGTGTGATTTCTTTAGCTGCCCATTAGATGGACATGGTTTGTTGCAAGTATTGACTACATTAATTGGTTGCCTTGTTACATCCACAAAATATTCCTGCTCTTGCGCTGTGCTGAGTGTTGGCATGCGCTGCCATTGTTACCGCAGGAGAAGTCACTGCAGGAGGAGAACAAGGTTCTGCAGAAGGAGGTAGGCAGACCGCAGACGCTGCTGCTACTCAACACGTCGCCTCATAGATGCTCAGCTGGCCCTCTGTTTTCTCGTGAAGCAAATTAAATTTACAGAAAGCGTTACTCCTGCCTGCAGCTCGCGGAGAAGCAGAAAGCCCAGCGGCAGCAAGTGCATCGGGACCAAACTCAACAGCAGACCAGTTCGTCTTTCTCGTCCTTCATGATAAGGGAAGCTGCCCCAACCCCAACAACAAATATCAGGTAGATCACATTCACATCGCGCTACAATCCCAAATAGTGAGGTGACCTCATTTTCGGGTAAAGATTTAAGTGAGGTTGGGCTTAGCTAAACCCCATTTTTTTTTAAAAATACATTTGTGCATTTTTAAAATTAGTGAAAAAATGTAGATTCTTGTAGACCATGGGCAATGTTGACAGTTGACACACAATGTTCATTTATGAGCCACAAAGAAAAAGATTGCGAAATGATACTCGTTTTTTTTCTTCACAGAAAGTATGTGGTCAATTTTTTTTCTACGAATTTTCGTGTGTCAATATAATTAATCATCCATCTAGATGTATGCATTTTTTTTGATAAATTTTAGAATTGCAGTTTTTATCTTGTAAATTTCCAAAACAGTAGCCGTACGCCTATACTCAACCAGGTTACACCTAGGGCCAATTTCCTGCCTCTGCTGACATTTCAGGAAGCAACTGACAAGAAAAATGACCGTCCGGTTTTTGCAGCATCTTCCCTGTGGCAGAAGGTGGGAGAGTGGTGGAAGCGGCAGCAGCGCAGCCGCAGGCTCGCGTTGGACTGCCACCATGGATGCTTAGCCACCTGAGCAGCTGAAGGTTTCTTTTCACCATCGTGGTGTGGTAGCCCAAAATTCAGCAACTCGCTTCTCCGCCTGGTGCAGTATCGTCGTGATCGCGAGAAGCAGCAGTAGTGGTCTACCGTATTTTTTACCACCATATATAAGTAGCAAATCTGCAATGTGTATATTTTGTTCACCGTTTCCGCTGGTCGGTCGCACGAGTACTTTACGCATGTAATCTAATATATGTGCAGCATCGAATATTCCATTTCCATGACCATAACACGTGCTGGTTTGTGGTAGTTTCGAGTCTCACATAATACGTACACATTCATATCACAGTGGCCTTATCCCTTGCATCAAGTTTCATTTCTACAGAATACGGCTTTGTAGTCGTTTCCCTTTATGCATCAAATTCCATATCTTTGTTGGTCGTTCCAAATTACGCAGCTGCATATGTAACAACAATAGAGAGGAATGCATCTGATTTAATTGCGATGTTCTGATGTCTCCTAGGCGCCTTTTACTACAAAAATGCAGATAACTCAAAACCAGAGGACGATACCATTCTGTCGGATAAATTAATAAAGATGGTCTTAAAAAAGAACGATCTTTCTGCCATCGGTCATGTACAACCGTTTCGCCACCATAAATTGAGGTGTTTACCATCCCAGGTCATAGCTGACACAAATGCCTACCGAACCCAACCCAACCCGCCCCCACCCTCCCCAAAAACAGAGTCACATTTAACACATGCTAAAGCCACTTCTAAGAACGGTAATAAACATCCTCTGAACTCTGTACCTTGACACTACAGGTTAAAAGGAGGATGCGACTAAGGCATGTGTAAAAAAGAGACTGAGTTGAGATGGCTATTAGGATAACCGAGGTAGCTTCTCCTTCAGCCGCGAAATGAACTTAAATGTCTCCTCTGCTCTTACTTGTTGATAAATATCATTTCTTGATACCCTGTCCGGATGGAATTTCAGAAGAGCTTGCTTGAAGGCTTTAACCTGAAAAGGATAAGTAATCTCATCAAATTAACTATTATGTTACAGATATTCCTAAATCTCTTCTATGTCCCGAGCAGAAAGCTTATATATTAGTCTCTGGGGAAAAAAATGAGCTCCTTGAATAAGAACACAGGTTTATGAAATAAAGGTAGCTACTGATCTTCACTTATACAGAGTTATTGCCTTATTGGCTTAGTCTCACTCCCTTTGTTCCAAATTATATGCTTTTTGGCTTTTCCAGATACATAGATTTTACTTCTTTTTTAACTGTGTCTAGTGTATATATCTAGGTGCACAGCAGAAGCTATATACCTAGATAGAAAAGTCATAAGGACCTATAGTTATGGGACGAAGGGAGTACCGAAGTACTGTCATTACCCTTATCTGTTCTATTTTTCTTAAAGACTACTTGCAGAATCTAGTCCTGCGAAGTTGATATACAGTTGCTGTATATGTACATATTCATCTGCCTGCAATTGCAGAAGCTACCCATAGCTGTTCGTAAGACTCAGACACTTGGGGTTTTACTTTTATATGGTTAAAAGAGACAAGGGCCAACAGTGTTTGTACTAGGCAAAACGTACACAAACAATATGACAAAAAAGAAGCTAGCAGCAAATATTTTTTTTCACTTTTTATGGTTAAAAGAGACAAGGACCAACAGTGTTTGTACTAGGCAAAATGTACACAATCAATATGACAAAAAAGAAGCTAGCAGCAAATATTTTTTCTTATAACCAGCAAGTGATGGGTTGAGTGTATCCATAAGAACAGGGCATACCTCACCACCTTCAACAGAGATGCCTAGCGCATGCAATATTGAAGTCATATCCCAATGTCTCCTTTCCAAATCTTCCAGTTCCTTTCTGACTACACCCCGATACTGCTCCTTAAGCTGTATAGCTTCTTCATTCTACAGGAAGAAAGAAAAGTTAAGTGCCATATAATGCCAAAGAAATATGAAGATTTACAATGAATTCTACTAGCATAACACTGGATACTGGTAGAACGAGAGACCTTTCTCTGTGATTCACGGACTTCTTGCAATCTTTGCTTTTGTCTCTTCTCCATGTCAAGCAAGCGTTGAGCTTCAGCTTTCTTTCTCTTTCGCAATTTCTTTGCTTCCTCAGACTACACAATGTTTTTCAACAAACAAACATCATGAGCTGTGACAGATCCAAACAAATTAGTTGTCGGGGACCAATACTAGGGTACCCGAAGAGGAGGAGCTAATGATCATCAACATTGATTCATTCGAGCAGTCAAGAGCGCGACTACAGCTCCAACCGACCCCCAGGTGCGCGGGCTCCGCCTCGCCCGACCTCTGGGTCGGGGGCTCCACCTCGCCCGGCCTCTGGGTCGGGGGCTCCATCTCGCCTGACCCCTCAGGCGCGGCTCCTGACAGAAGCCCGTACCGCCGCCAACCACTACGGGCCAGAAAGTACAACACAAGGTCAAACTTCTGGCATCGTGCAGGGAGCGGGCACATCTCAACATGACCCGTGCCCGTGACGTGTTACTCCAGGGAACTCACATCACCAACAGTGATGGATGCGTGGTCACTATGTTGCCTACTCCCTGTACGGCCGCTGACCAGCACGCTGGTTCGCCGCGTCGCCCGCCGGGACGGACTGGGACGTCACGACCCGCCGACAACGCCAGGGTGTGGCATCAGCGACGAAACGGCGTGGAGCCATCCCTGTCACCATCTGCAGTGTCGGCGGGACCCGCGTAAAGGAGAAGAAAGGCCCGGCGGTCCTGGAAGCCTTCCTCTCCTTGGCTCTTCTCCCTCTTTCTCTGTGTAACCTGCTCTTCCCCTTCGTCTATAAAAAGGGAAGCAGGACGCCCCAAGAGGGAGGACGGCGGTTCACCACTCTACACGGCTGTAGACATCAAAACACACGCCCTAACACGCCTTAGGAGCACACACGCACATCAAAGACTTGGGACCTGTCCCTCTCTCGCTCGTTTGTAACCCCTACTACAAACTTTCAGTGCCAGTAACACGAGCAACAGCGACGAACTGGACGTAGGGACTTTCTGCCCGAACCAGTATAAACCTCGTGTCCTCTAAGCGCACCATCCGAGCCAAACGCGCAATACTAGAAATTTACTAGTTGGTAACTCAAAACAACGACATTAGTAGTCTTAGTCTGATAGCTACTTTGATTATCACTCCCTTCGTCCAAAATAAACCAATTCCTGGAATCACCCTAAGTCAAATTACCTCAAATTTGACAAATTTTATAGGAAAGGGTGACAATATCATTGACACCAAATAAGCAAATTATGAAAATATATTTCATGTATCTAGCGATACTAATTTGCTGTCATAAATATTGGAGCTCTTTTTCCTATAAATTTGGTCAAACTTAAAATAGTTTGACTTAGGACAACTCTAGTTGATTTAAATTGATTTAACTTGGAACAGAGGGAGCATCTTTTTTTATTAAAAAATAAGTCTAAACTTAGGCAGGCATTAGCCTGCCACAACTGAAATCACATTGAATACAGAATGCTGGATGTTATGTTCCCAAATTATGCATGGCATCACATATTTCTAGTATATAGTTTAACATCAATTCAAAGTAGCAAAATACTGTACCTGTATTTGTAATTGCTGCTGTCTTGATGCCCACTCCTCCTCTGCTGCCCGCTTGTACTCAACAGATTCTTTGTGTTTTTCACGTTCACCAATCATTGACGCAAATCGCCCTAAGTCCTCAGGATCTTGAAGCAAATCCTTACCCCTGACAGGACCATTATCTTGAGCAGAATAAATATTTGTGTTATAGGAAGCTTCAGGTGGTGACTGATCCTTTTGTGAATATACATCTTCAGGTATTTTCTCATCAACCTTTTCAGGAGTACTGACAGAAATTGGAGGACTTCCATCTTTCCTGTCCGTTGACGAGATCCCAGAAAAAAAACTATTTGCAGAGGCAAAGTTATAGGCAGAGTTTTCATCTGGCCGAGGCGATTGAACCCCTTCTGAAGCTTTTTCAGAACCAACCATTGAACATTCCTTGACATTTGGCACTGAAGACTGGTCATGGTCATCCTTTGACCTGCCGGTATTATTTTGCACATCTTCGGCATTTGGCACAGAAGGACCATTGACACCCTTTGCATTGTCAGCACTACTTGGAGCACGCCCCGGGCCTTCCTTTGTACCGCCACAACTATTTTGAGAGTCATACTTGCTTGCAGTGCTGTAAAACCAAGACATACTCTCATCTGGATGGCGTTCGGCACCAAAGAGATGCTCAGAGTTTTTACCTGGCTGTGTCTCCACCCCAGCACATGATGTGAATGCAGTAGCCCCAGCATCCTTACACTCATGGACACCATGAGGCGGCTTTTTTCTGGAAGCAGACGTCTCCCACATCTTACGGGCTGTACCAGTGTCATCGAGAATCTCACAATCAGAGCTGCCATCATCAGTGTCTGAGTCCCATCCTCCAGTAAGATCGCTCTCAGAGCTGTCGGACATGGAATCCAACCCATATCTGTTCCCTGGAGAACCCCGACCCGGTGTCATCGCTGCTGGAGACCCAGAAGCACGGGACATGCTGGGACCTGCTTTATCGCCTCCTGCACCATCTTTCTCGTCTTCATCATCATCTATGTTGATCACGTTACTGGAGGAGCGGTTCCCTTTCCTGGTTTGAGATTCAGGTCCCGCCGCAGAAGCTGATACTCCAGCAGCTGCGCCGTCGATTATGAGAACCTCCGAGTCGGAGGTATCGTCAGTATCATCGTCCTCATCGCTGAGCACCACGGTGCAAGGCGTGGACTTCTGCGCGGGGAAGACCCGCGTCCACCGCGTCCGGCTGAGCCCGTTGTGAGGGGTGAAGCGGAACCGCCCCCACGACATGGCTAGCACGGCCCGGAGACGATCGCCGCTGCAGGCTGGCGGCTATAGCATGCCGACACCCGCGACAACCTCAGGGTTCCACGGCGATCCTGCAGGGAAAACGGCAAGCTTGTAGATTCAATCGAACGCGATGGCGGAAATGCGCAATCAGGAACCCTAATTCGCAGGAATGGGCGTGGGACGGCGTTGAAAAAGAGGGGACTTACCGTGGTAGCGACGCCGGCGGTGAGATTCGGGGAGGGATTGAATCTGGCTCCCCGCCGCCTGCTCGATTTGGGAAAGAGGGGGGAGGAGTTCGGAGTTGGTGGGGCGTGGACGCGAGGCGACGCGACCAAGCCGAGGAGGCGGTGGAGAGCAAGGAAGGGGATCGATGGAGCACGAGCCGCAGGATGGAAAATCCGCCTCTTTTTTTGATTTGGGATTTGGGATTTGGACTTTTGGTGAGCGAGCCGTTTCAACTTTCTAGTAGCAGTACTTGCGAGAGCACCGGGGAGGAAAGCCATTGCCCAAGCCGCGCGGCGAAATCCAGCACGGCTCTTCCGCGAATTTTCCCCACTCCGCACGCGTGCGGTTTCGTCGCCTCCGCGCCCGCGTGCGGCCGGGTGGTGTGGTGTGTGTGCCCGCTGGGCCGCGGAGCACGGTCGCCTACCTGTGAAGCGGATGGGCTGGGCCTGGGCTCATGCGGTCACGCCTGTGGACGTCAGTTTCACGCACAGTTGCACAGCAAGTTACGCGAAATGGTTTCTCAAAAAAAAAAAAAACAGTTACGCGAAATTCCCGCCCAAAAAGAAAGTTACGCGAACGGCGAACGTCTAGTATCTAGACGTGATGTTGTGATGTTAGGTTACAATTAATATGTTTTTAAACTATATTTTATACTAATTAGATGTAAATTATTTTAACCCGTAGGAGCAAGGAGTATGACTTTAAGTCATACAGGACATGGAGAGCGTAACGGTAAGCATAAGGTTATCATATCATATTTGATTAGATTTATTGACATGTAGAGGATGAATTAAAGGTGACTTTCTACAAAAAAAAGATGATATTCTCGTTCTTTAATAATTAAACCAGAAGGATTTTTCACATGTCGCTGCGGGGCGAGTGCATGAGACGCCGGGTGAGCGCCGGGCAGAGCAAAGCGGGGTGACGCTGGTCCTGCCGGGTAGAGTCGTACTTCCGTATTTTTTAGTTGTATATAGATATAGAAGATTACACTATGACATCAATGACTTAATTTTTTGGATCCACCCGATCTCTGAAACATTTTAAATGAATCTGTAAGACATCCTTCTAATCTATACAAAAGAATTCGCTTCCTTTTCTAATGACCATGCATGAGCAACTGCATCTTTTATTAGAAATGATGAAGTAAGTTTACTAATTACTCTATCATTTCCAAATTATAGTTCGTTTTGGTTTTGCCCTAGTAATTTTCTTTTAAAAAAACAAGTTTATAGAAAAATTGACCAACATCTCTGACATATATAAAAGCTTGAGAAGTTTGATTTTAGAGTAAAGTCAAAGCAAATTATAATCTGTAACAGGGTGCTAGGGTTAATAAAGTTGTGACATCGTCTGTAACAAGTTGGTACACGCAAACATTATACATAAGAACTAGTCATAAATAAGAAAAAAAAGAAATTGATCTTGTGCCAATCTTCGCAGAGTAGCTTCACTTCACTTTGAATCTTATTTCCAACAAATTTTCAGTCAATTTTGCTTACATTTTTTTTTATGCAGGGCCCACGTACTGATAGTTTTGCAAACAGCCAGTCACCTTTTTTTATCGATTTGACCATTTAGATCATGTTTAAACCGTCATAATTTTGTATTATACCACTAGAATATACATATTTATATATGTAAAGTCAAATATACTAGAAAGTATTTTAGTTTTAGCAAAAGACAAATTCAAAATAAATTTATTCTAGCAATATGTGAAAAAGCATGTACATGTACTACAACAAATAGTTTTTCACTACTACATTCAGACCTATCACAAGCAGTTCGTAAAGCCCATCACTAGCTTTTTTGGTCTCGGCAGTAAGCTGTCGGTGGTGATGATATTCTCATCACAGGTGGTTTGCAACCGCGCGGTGATATTAGCTTATCACAGTCGGTTCGTATTACCAGGTGGCGGTGATTTGAATTTTCAAAATTCCTAAAAAAGAGCTAAAAAATAGCAAAATAATTTGTTTAGACCTTTATCCTTTGCTCCTCTAACCACTCTCCTCTAATCACTCCATTCCTAAGTCACTTGTGTCTATATAACATATTCATTTTCGTAGTATTCACTTTTCAGGATTTAAAATGAATATTCAGAACCATAAACGGCTTCAGATAAAAAAGTCATAAACTACAAATTTGTTGTTCTGATTGAGATCTACAACTTTGATTTTGGTTGTTTCACCATCCAAGGTCGTTTAACAAATTTGAATTTCAAAACGTCAAAACTTCAACTAGACTTTTGGGACCTCAAATGATTTCAAATAAAAAACTCATCAACTACAAAGTTATTGTTCTCATCGAGATCTATAACTTTGGTTTTGGTCAATTTTTCATTCAAGGTTGTTTGAAGAATTTAGTTTTAAAATTTTTAAAACTTCAGATACAAATTTGAGACTATAAATGATTTATAATAAAATAGTTGTCAACTAAAAAGTTGTATATCTCATCGAGATCTACAACTTTGATTTAGGTCATTTTTCCATTTAAGGTCGTTTATACAATCCAAAAAATTTGAATTTCAAAATTTGAGTGCTTCAAACAGAATTCTAGGACCATAAATGGTTTTAAATGAAAAAGTCATCAACTACAGACTTGTCAATCTCGTCGAGGTCTAAGTTTGTTTTCATCTGACTTTATTTAAAAAAGTTATGAATTTATTTATACTGGAGCATGGTTATCACCGCCGTATCATACAACAAGCTGGCGGTGAAAATGTCTTCGCCGCTGGTTCATATGGCGAGGCGGCAGTGATGAGAAGCACATTATCACCGCCGATTGGTGGTGCAAAGCAGCTATGATGATGGACTATCACCGCCGGTTGGTAAGACGAAGCGACGGTGATAGTTATTAACCCGCACGTTCTTACGAACCGTTGGTGATAGCTATTACCAACGGTTTTAATAATACTGGCGGTGAATAAAGGTGGTAGTGATAGGTCAATCTGTAGTAGTGTTTTAAGGAAAAATAAGTCTCACTCTGTGTTATATATTCATGATGTTAATTAGCTTCATGCCAATGTGGTAGATATAATCCTTCCTTACTAACTATGAATTGAACAGACATTTAAGTTGGTTAATGACTCTGTTTTTTTCAAACGTGTTCAACTCTAATATTATTATTATGTTTAATCATGGTGAGTTAAACGGTATGATGATCGGCATGAAGCTTCTTGTTACATTGAATGGACTCCAGATTGTAAGTGAAATGGTGTATTTTCGTATTTGTTTTTCCTCCTCCATTTCTAATTTTAATAAATAAAATGATGGAAAAAAAGTGAAAGAAAAAACGCTCTGTCCCACACAGGAACGGAGTAACCACTTCAACTTGCATATCACGCTGATCAGTGAACAGTTGTGCTCTGTGCAGCGTCGCAGCAGGAGCATGACTCACAGAGTCATAGAAAGTCATTTACTCTGCTAGTCACTGACCAGCAGGGCCAGCTTTGAACAGAACCCACTCGCCAGGGATGGGGTAAATAATGGTTGCAGTAGGCATTGGTGAGGCCTCGTGATGATGGTTCGTTCCTGATCCTGTACAAAGGTAGAGCAAAGCAGCAGCAACAGAAGCAAAGCATCTTTTGTTCCTCCGGGCTAACAACTCCGCTCCGCTCGGCCGCCGCCCGTATCCGTCTCTGTCTCGTCAGGTGAATCTGATATCTCCATCACTATCCGCCTGTCACATCGCAATTCGCATCATCCGTTCAAACCCTCTCATCTCAGTCAATCTCTCGTGTACCGATTGGCAGCAACAGGCTGGTACCATGCAAGGTTTAGCTTAATTTTCACCCGCTACCAGCCTTACATAACTTCGATTACTCAAAGCGTATAACCAAAAGTAAACATAATCATGTAGATAAGACTATGGCAAGTAAATATTGAAGTCTTCTAAGATATGAAAGTGTAGATACAATGGCTTATCAAGCCTCCGAGACTAGATCAGGAACTTAGACATGAGCCCAACTCAACCCTAACTCTCAAATTACTAATCTACTATATTGGAGAGTTCTAGACTTATTACTCCTGGTGTATCTTGATCTGAATGAGATGCCTTTCTAGAGGGATCTAGGGGTCCTTTTATAGGGGGCGCCAGCCACCCTATGGGCCCATGAATCCGTGGCATGGCTTAATCTCAACTCTCCATCCGAATTGACCTTAATAAACGGTGGAGATTGATCCTTAGAAGTGGTGGAACAATCACCACTACACAAAAACTTAACCGAGGCGTTTGAAAAAGGCCTCTGAGGCGGTTGGGCCGATTGCTCGCCTCGGTTAATCGATATTAACCGAGGCGGTCGTCTTAAGGCAACTATAAGGCTCGCATTAGTTAATCGTGGCCAGCCCATCAGGCCCATCTAAGCCTGATAACTGCTTCACAGTATATATACGCTAAGCATAACTGAAACCCTAACTCTCCGTCTTCCTCAGGCGATGTACCCTCCAACCCTCTCTCTCCGTCTCCCTCAGGCGCCGCTCCATCCCTCTCGCTCTCTCTCTCTCCCCCTCAGGCACCGCTCCATCCCTCTAGCTCTCCCTCATCTCGAGCACAACCGAGCGGCCACGGCCACGGCCACGGCGCCACTCCATCCCTCTCCCTCTCCCTCAGGCGGCCACGGCGGCGCAAGCGGTGCACATGGAGGCTAGGGCGGGCTCGCGCACATGGAGGCCATGACTGCGTAGGGCGGGCTCGCGCGGGTCGTGGGCACATGGATCTGTGTAGCAGTAGCTCCTACACCTTCCCCGGCAGCGGATCCGGCGCCACCACCTCCACGC